TATACAAAGAGAATACCATATACTATATAAGAGAACCCTCAATACCTTATACCAAGAAGTACATTATACTATAATACTAAAGAATATAATAAAATAGAATGTGACACACTATTCTTCGATACGACACTTCACTGTGCCATCACCGTGTAACCAGAGTCTCCTGGAGGGAGAGAGGGCATTATGTGTATAGATCTATACGAGACAGACACTCCCACATCCCGACTGCTAGCTACAGTCCAAGCCCTCTAGGCCCAAGGGTGACAAAATGTCACCACACTCCGTGTGACCTAGAGGGTCATCAATTATTCAATCGTCAATCAGCATGGTTACATACAAGTTCACATTCAAACCTGTAATCGATACAGTAAGAATTAAATGCAAAATAAACTCCCCAAGGAGTATTGTACATTTTGATACTACTTGGAGTCTACATTTCATTACATTCAGCCAACAATGACACTACTGGGGTAAAACATTATTTTTCCCATTTATTTGACATAAATGAAGTCTAAAACTATAATTTTTCATAACTGTTAACTCACTGGGAAAACTTTTACACTTTCAGAGGATCAAACTTTCAAATAACCTAGTCTTGGTAGAGGACTACTTTTACTGCAAAATATAGGATTTTCTAAGGATTATACTCTTTTTCAAACACTGGACACAACTATTATATTACATGATTGTACACACATTTATACAAGCAACAACACTAAATACTCATGAACTCACCAGCTTTATGCTGATACTCGTTTTCAAATAACTTGTATTCTCAAGTCAGCAATAGACAGGTACTGATGCAACTTTTGAGAAGATGGAGCACATACAAGACCCATCTTTTATTTTTGTTTATACTTTTGGTGTCTATTAAACTGTACAGAACACGCTTGTATTACAATTACTATATTAATGCAATGGTTGTTGTTTCTTGTTTTTACAATTATGCATTGTTATGATACTGTACATGATGTCCTCCACCCCCAGAACGTATTTCGTCGTTCTCGGTTTTGGGGTGTGACAACTTCGTACTTGTCATGACTCATGATACACCAAACATCTTTTTCCCCCCAAATTTGTATAGTTATGATGAATCAGAAAGTTAAAGCGAAGAGCAGGACCCCATTAGAATCAAAGTTTTTTTCGAAGAACACACAAAACCTTCGTCTCCAAAATCTCAAATTCTTAGATATTTAAAACTTTCCATGTTTGATTAGTTCCTGATATCTATATAAGCTAACAAGAGAGTAGAAATTACTAGCCTTTCAAGTATAATCGTGTATAATTGTGACTTCTTTAAAGCTCTCTTGGTGGCTCTTGTAAGGATTTAGAAATCTAAGTAGGGATATATATATATATATATATATATATATATATATATATATATATATATATATATATATATGCCTCTAAAGGCTCAAACCCAAAAGACTAAAGCTCTAGAAACCTAGGAGAGAGGCTTATAAGAATCGAATTATCAACCTTGCAAAGTGTAGGATCAGATTTTGTGAAGGTCAAAGGGATCTTTATATAAGTTGAGGTAACATGTAGAGAAAGCTAAATTAAATTAATTAAAGAATTAAATTTAATCCTAATTTCAATCCTTTCATTATCTATTACCTGGAGTTACCCGGATTGATATCTAGATATGGATCCTAAACGCTCTCCAAAATCGTCCACCCTCTTAGTGTTTGCAAGATGTCCCTCTTGCTCGATTAATGAATAATTAACATTCGACCATTGTACCTTTAAATAATTCTTGATTTTAAGTAGAGAAGAATCTCCACTTTGCGGGGTTGGAAACGCCAAAGAAAGCAACATGATTGGAAGTGAAAGTATGTTGCTACATCTTGCAAATAGACCTTTTACTTTATGTATTCATCCAAGAATAAAGATGCATTTGAACACAACGAAATTTAACGTTTGGTTTGTCTTAAAACCAACTCAATTACCTACATAATTAGGGTTCGACTACAACAAAGAAAATTGATGTTATCAAATAAATGAGTGGTGAAGCATAATATATCGGTTCCATCGTTCTCTTTTCTGGTGACAACAGAAGATAGAGATGGCGATGCATACAATTGTGGAGCAAGTGATTAAGAGCAAGAGTGAGAACGCCTTCAATTGATAATAATGGCGATAGGGTTTTTGATGGGAGACTGTGTGGTGGAGAAGTATAACGATGAAAAAAGAGATAAAAATAGATGTCTTTGATGGAAGAATTAGGGTTCGCTCATGAATCGAGACACTACGTTACAAATGAATTTAATTTTGGGAGAAAGATAATGGTGGTGCAAAATAGATGATTGATACGGCGGGCTGTGGAAGGATTATAGATGTGCGAACCCCAATTGAAAGGGAAACACGTATACGATCTGGAAGGCTAAACCTAGAAACAGATCGAGGACACATATAGCAAAAGAACTAACGGATTAAACGAAAATCAGAACCCTATGGCTATGAGAGAAGAAGAAGGCAAGGTTACATACACTGTGAAAGGAAGCTTCTGATCATAAGTGAGAATAATCTTGAACGACACTTTCCCTCCGTCAGTAGCACTCGCTATAGCAACATATCTTTTATTGCCTTGCCTACAATTGTGTTTAGGCGGTGTTACAGTGGTGGGAACCATCCAGAAAGAAAGTGATAAAGGAGAGAGAGAGAGAGAGAGAGAGAGAGAGAGAGAGAGAGAGAGAGAAGGCGGTGGAGAGCAGTGGTGTTGAATAGACACACATATGAAATGGAGAGACACCACGTAGTTAGTAGAGAAAGATGCAAGTTACACGTGTAATCTACTATCCAATATAATATACACATAAAAATATATAATTATCAGAAAGGAAAAAAAAATGAGCCAATCATATCAAAGAAATGTTCCATAAGAATGTTTGAAATTAATCTCTATATATAATTAACCCAATTAATTTCATCTAATTTCTAATTTTTTTATTAATATGTAATATATTAATAAAGTATTTATTTCGGTCTTTCAAATCTTTTGGTCGTTATTTTTACATTTTGAAGACGAACTTAAATGATTTTCGTATTATTTTCAAAATTATACCAATTAATTAAGACACTTGATGGTTATTACAACAAGATAAACACATTCCAAGGTAGTGAGATTAACAATACGATTCTATTTGGAACAAAATTGTTCTAAAAATATTTTTATCGGGTCAATAAAAAAGGCTTAGGATATTTTGAAGAAGAAAAAACCTGATACGTTAATTTCCTTTTTTTTAGATAATCCAATACTTTAATTTGCATATAACTTTTATATTTTTAGAATATAAATAAATTTCTGATTTTAAATTAAATCATATATATTTATGTGGTTGAACAATTTTCAAAATCAATCTTTTATACAGTCGGTCACTATCATTAAATATCCGTACACAAAATCTTCGACAAATACGTATAAATAAAGTTTCACAAACGTAGCGTTAATCATTAATCAAAAGATTAGTATTTATGAATGTATTTTTCTCTACTTTAACAATTTATTTTTATTATTTACTCAAATGATATATTTACCAACTCGTAATTTGGACGCGAAAGCCGTCATAAATAAGGAGGAGGGGCACTTTCTTTGCATACTCAAACACGTACATCATGAGGCGTTTCATTGTCTCCAGGTTATGTACTTCTGCCTCACGTCCAGCACCTTCTTCGTTAAACCACCACCACCACCACCATCAGTACCGTGATTTTAGTTATGTCTTCCGACGCAACCCAATCACTACATCCGATAGAGGTGCACAATCGCAAGGTAATGGGAGTACACTTAGATGGCTATTCCACATGCAGAAAATCCGTTGTTTCATGTCAAGTAGGGAAAGTCCTCGGAATACTATCAGCAGGTATAGCATCTTCACTTTCACTCTTGGTTTATTATGCTTCATATTCTTTAGTAAATTGTCAAAAAACTATGAAATGTAAGCTTCGTATATACTGGTCACGACTCATGATACACTAAACATCATTTTTTTTCTCCAATTTTTGTAGTTACGATGAATCCGAAAGTGAAAGCGAAGAGCGGGACCCCATTAGAATCAAAGTTATTTCCGAAGAACACATAAAACCCTCGTCTCCAACACCTCAAAACCTTAGATATTTCAAGCTTTCCATGTTTGATCAGATCCAGATATCCATATACTATCCATTTACATTTTTCTATCCAAATAATAAAAATAACAACAACAAGAACGTGGAGGAGATCATAAACCAACGATCAAATCATCTGAAACAATCACTCTCAGAAACCCTAACACGATTCTACCCGTTTGCAGGCAAGGTTGCCAGCGAACTTCACATTGATTGTAACGACGACGGTGTATATTTCATCGAGACTAGGGTTGATGATAGGCTCGAGAATGTGCTTAAGAAACCCGACAATAAATTCTTGCAACGGTTGATACCCGTGGCTAATTCTGTAGCGAATCAACAATCGTTGGGATCTTATGTTTCAATGGTACAAGTTAACTTCTTTAGCTGTGGTGGAGTTGCTATTACAGTGCAACATAACCATAAGCTTGTAGACGGAGCTAGCTACATGACATTCTTGAAAGCATGGGCTTCGAGTGCTCGAAAAGATCCGAATCTTGTAAACCCTAGTTTTGTTTCCTCGTCGATGTTCCCGCAAAATCCTCAGTTGCCATATGCACCATATGTTCCCATATGGTGTTTAACGATTTCTCCTGCTTATTTAAAGCATGGACAATGCGCAACTAAAAGATTTGTTTTCGATGCTCGGGCTTTGAGGGAGCTCAAAGCCAGAGCATCGAAACATGAGCCAGTCAGCCGAGTCGTGGCTGTACTGGCTTTGCTTTGGAAATGCATCACCACCGAAACAAAATCTAAGCCATCGGTTTTACATCTTCCGGTGAACATCCGTCCACGAAGTTCCCCGCCAATGCCTGAAAATTCGGTGGGAAATAGTCTTTTGGGGTACATGTGCGGAGTTCGATCCACATACAAGTGATCTTGAACTACCTTCAATGGCTTCTCAACTACAGGCTGCGGTTGCAAATGTGAACGGTGAAGCGATTGAAGAACTAAAAGGAGAAAACGGGCATGTTAAGTTCGTAGAAAGCCTGAGAATGTCCATGGAAAGATTTTCGGATTTCAAAAGCGAGTACTATTTGACTACGAGTATGTGTAATTCAGGAACTAAAGAAGCCGATTTTGGATTCGGAAAGCCTGTTTGGGCATGTACAGGGAACGTGAATGAAGATATTCCTATTTTTTATGAACAGGATGATAATGGTGGATTCGTGTTCTGGTGATGGAATTGAAGTTTGGGTGACGCTGGAGAAACAGGTAATGGATGCCCTTAGGTCCAATTCTGAACTTCTATCGTTTGCTTCTGTGGATCCTAGTCCTCTATCTATAGCTTAAATATTGATTTGTGTATTGTATTCATTTGTTTGGATTGTGAAATATTTACCTGTTCTTGTTAAGGTGCATGATTGGAATAAATATCCAAGAGATATGTCATGTTTGATTCATACTATATATGTGTACATTTAGAACGTGGTAATAAAAGGACGATGAAACTTAATTTGCTTTGATGTGGCCTACCTTATCCCCGGTCTCTCTTTCATCCATGCTCTATAACAACTTGATTTTTCAATAACGATATATAATACCAACTTAGGAAAATATCGGCTTTAAATATACCTGGTGTTTTAACTCAGATAAATTACCATATATCTGGTCATGCACCGATTGTTTCTTAGAGCAAGTTTGAGCGCCAATTGTTTTCACATGAACAGCGGTATTGACGTATGTGAACAAAATTAAAGATAACATACGGCTAGCTAGATCTAGCCATAGCGTTTTCCGTGAATACTACTTATAACATGAACTGCATGTCGTATACTGAATTAATGATACACACGTTATCAAAAAAAGTCAAACATTGACCAAAAATAAGAATTTTACAAAAAAGAAAAGATAAACAAGTACAAAAAAGTCACATGGACAAAATCTAAGTACAAAAAAGTCACATTGACAAAAATATGAATAAGACAAAACAAGAAGACATAAACAATATATATATATATATATATATATATATATATATATATATATATATATATATATATATATATATATATATATATATATATATATTACATTATAATACATACATAATATATATTTTAAGATCAAAGTCTTAAAACAAGGAGATGAAATTTTGGCATTTGGATTTCATTTGAATGATTAGGATAGTGATCCATATCAATAGATTTAAACCAATCAAAATCAAGTATTTTATAAATTCTATATATTACTATGTACTTTCTAATTGGATATGAGATGAAGCTACATCCAACTCTGGATGGGTAATTCAAATATTTTGAAAATAAGATTTGATGTGTATCTGACAGCACCACTACCCAATGTGTCTCTTGATTCTCCACCCCATTCTATCACACCCTCCTCATATTTCTTCCCCATCAGCCACCTTCCCAGACAAATCCACAAAATTGTCTTCTTGACCTCCCATCAAGCTATAACCACCACCTTCTCCTGCCCGCCAAGACAACAATACCATCTGATTACCAGTCAAATTGGTTGAAATTTTAGGGTAATGATTTGGATTTCATCCAAGATTTGATATGAATAATATAGGGTTTCATGTTTTTCTATTTTTGTTTACGTTTATAACTACATGATATGTTTTTTTTTTGGAATATTTTCAGCTTTAACCTCACCTGCGTTCACCACTGTCAAATCCCTGCTTTATTGCCTTGGTTCTTTTCTAAAAAGGTAGTTGTTTTTTCATTTCCCTAATTTCTTCATCCCCTCTCTACCTTTTAGGTTAGATTATTCTTAAGAATCAGATTTTGTTTTGGATTTTTCACAAGAATCACATAATCTGTTTGGTTTGGTGCTTGGATCTAACTATCTTGCTTAATTTTTGGTATTATTGGTAAGGAGAATTGTGAGTGTTGAAGGTTTACATATATATTATTGTTGCTACAGCCTGCAGTTATACCGGTTGACATCTCTGCCTTCACTACCAGTTAACGCCTCCTATACCAGCTACGCCATTAAGACCATTGTTACCTTCAATAACCCTAGATCTAAACCACTGTACACTGATTTTTTTCTCTAGATTTTTCGTTGCTCTCACTATCACCACCAACTGCCTCCACCTACCACCAACCAAACCACGCCATCACCCTCTTTCGGTCTTTAACCTCCCACGATCTCTTTGAACCACCATCCTTCCACCGTTAATATACCATATCCGCTCCATTGACCCCATATCTAGAAGCCCCGACTGACAATGGAGTTTTACAGAACTAATTCTCTTTCCTTAAGTGATTGCATTTAATATTTATTTACTTGTGATGTAAATGATAATTTTCTTAACTTTTGTAATTGATGATGCAGATTGCTAGCTACAATTCTTGAACCATATATGTTTTGGATTAGTGTCTAAGTCCATAATTATTTTAGTATGTACTTGACCCGATGATGTATGGTCCTTTTGGGTTGCCTTCACCAAAGCAAATTGATAGGATGAATTATGGAGAGAGAGAGAGAGAGAGGATTAATTATGATTTATTAATATATTATGAGAATAATATATTAAAGGGGAAATCATATTGTTTAATTAATATTAGTCAAGAATTAATTTTGTGGCTAAAAGACATTAATTAAATAAAGGGGACTAGAACTGTCAATTGTATGATACGTTAAATATTGGGCTAATGGACTCCATAGAGGATGGAGTGGATGAATTCTATGGGGAAACCCATTAGAAATCGTCCAAGGCCTCTAAGGAGGGAGTCCATGGGTTGCTTAGGGCCTAAGCAATCAAATTAGGGTTTCCTTGTTAGATAACCTTAATACCCTCACTATTTAAGGATCGTTAGGGCACCAAAAACGTGGCCAACTAATTCCTTAGGGTTTCTACACGTTTTGGGTGCCTCCTCTCTTATCATTCTTCATCATTTTGCTCTTGGTGTTTGTGAGCCATTAGAGGAGTGATACTAGTGACTTTAAGCTTTCTAAAGCCATTACAAAGGAGGATTTGAGATTGTTATTGCTACATAACAATCAAGGTAAGATCTAAACCCCTATCTTATGTTAGTATGATTAATTGTATGCTAGATCTAGGGTTTATAGCTTTGGATATTCAATTGCATGTTCATTAGACAAACTAGATCCAAAAGCTATTAGGGTTTGCATGTACACCATAGGAATGATGTTTTGCTCAAAGCCCATCAGTGGTATCAGAGCCATGGCTGTTTTTTGATGTATTTGATACTATTATGGATTATCCTTGCTTAAAGATCGCAATTTAGGGTTTCTTGGGGCTGAACTCGCGGAGTCCATAGATGAACTCGCCGAGTCCATGGTGAACTCGCCGAGTCCATGCCTGACTCAACGAGTTAGCTGGTCAGAAAGAGGGAAAATCAGGATTTTGTGCTCTTTTCGCTCTGGGATTGTTACCAAAACGTTTCTTATGGATATAAATCAGATTTTTATGATATTGGGTGATTATCTTTGCCAAAATTAAAGATAAATTCATATTAGTTAGGTAATTATTTCCTTATATGATTAGATTTAGTTATTTCAATTATTTGGTGAATTATCTTGCAAGAATTTGGACTAGGTCAAATTAGATAACCACCAATTAAATGTTAATTGCCTTATTTGAATTTTGTGATCTAGAATATTCTTGACAAAGTTTGGAAAAGTTTCAAATTAATCCCTTTAGGTCTTATAGTTTAAATTTGAACTTAAAAGTTTTGTTTTTGAAATTTAAATAAGTTAAACCCTAATGTTTTGAAATGTTTCAAAAACTTGCCCTCAAGTTTTGGAATTTAAAAGTTGATTAAAAGTTTAATTTAGAAATGTTAAATTCTAAAACCCTAGCATTGTTCTGAACAGTTCAAATCACACTCTTATGGTTTTATTAATTATTTAAAGTGTATAATTAAAAGAGATTTAATAAATCCATAAAGTTTTGGTTTAAATTTAGTAAAATTAAAAGTATAATTTATTAAATTAGACCACATAGTATTTTAAATGTGTAAAATACACCCTATACTATATATAACATTAAAAGTCTAGTATTATATATGTATGAGTAAACAGTCAGTCTTACCGTTAGTAGGCATCATTCACGAAGCTAGTCTATAAAGGTGTTTAAGGAAATTGCCTATAAAATGGTTGATTGAATGGGTATGCACTCTTACCCACCGCACTCTTGACTAGTGGAAGGTCGTTAGCCGAACGGGTAGGATAGGACAGAAACCTTCCATTATAAGTATAATGAAGTACAAAAATAACTAAAGGCTTTTACAAAATTCCCAATCTTAGTTACTTTAGGCAGAAGTAAATTGATGCAATTCCATGAAATTACACATTGTGCCCTTGCAAAGACGTTAGTGGGGCGTGTGTGGTTAACCGGCACACTAAATGTTTCTAAGCAAAGGTAGCAAAGGGTGACTCATTGTTTGTCATAGTTCAGTGGAGCGTGTGTGGTTAACCGGCACATCGAATAGGTGATTGTAATATTGGTGGCACCATGTAAGTTTGCATGGTTATTCATACCCTATTTTGTGATCCTCGGCATCCCAGTCACAAATCGAGAGGCATGTCGAGATTTAAACATGCCATTGAAAATTTCAATGAATCTCAAAAGATCTAGGAATTTTCAATAGATTTAAAACTTAAATTTCTTTTTCGTTTTTCATGGTGGAAATTGGTAAATCATCATTTACCTACCTTCAAATATTCTGCAACTGGATTACGACATCCCTCTTATTGTGTTGGATCCTAGCCTCGATTTTTCATTTGGGTGTCACATCGAGGATTATAATCAATTTAACTTGAATTTTCTCCCATTTTGTAGATGTCAAAGTATGACAACTATGGTCTTCCCAAATCCCATGGAACAAGCTTTCCAAATGAAGATGATGTTCCACGATATGATCGAGGAACAAGATATCATGCTTCACTTCCTCCACCTCCTCCAATTATTCTCCCTAACCCACAAGTTCGAAGGCTTGAAAAGTTCAAGCTCACTCAAGCCCTTTTCGTAAGTAAACATGGAAAATCAGTGTGTGTACACGTCTTAGAGATAAAGTCACACATTGATAGGTTAAGGATGTTAGGTGTCGAGATTTCAGGTTAGTTGGCTGTTGACTGGGTTCTTCAGTCGCTTCCTGAATAGTGAGTTCGTTAAAGAGTACTGTATTATGGACCATGACGTGACCCTTATTGATTTGACCTATATGCTTATAGCTGCTGAATCAACAATGATTTGGCGAGTTGGTCGAGCAAATTTGTCTAGTAAATCAAACTCCCAAACTTCAATGGATATTGAAAACGGTAACACTGGAGATCCAGAAAAGGTAAATTCTAATATAGTT